GATTTGAAAGTATTAAGGGTAATAAAGTTTCCAATTCCTGCTACTAATGTTAAAACCTATGCTAAGGTAATGTCTTGGCTACTGGGATTTGGAGATAGACTTCCAATTCTACTGTCCTCCTCCACATTTCCTGTGTATTGAACAATCCACAGTTTAGTTACTAAAACAAAATAAAACAACAAAACAAAAAAACACCACCTTGAAAGTTACTATATGAGTGTTTCTTTGTTCAGAATGCCAAATCGGAAACATAATACATTTATATAGCGTGAGAAAGGAAGCTTTGTCCAGGAAAATACGACAGTTTTCACATTGACACCTGTAGGAAACTCTTCAAGTTTCCTATAGGTGAGTTTCACTTCAAGGGGCTCTCTAGCCAGTGTCTCCTGTTTGCAGGGAGGTTGGGGAGATGGCTCAGTAGGTAAAGTGTCTGTCATGTAAGTACAAGGACCTGAGTTTGGATCCCTGACACCTACACGATGATTGTGATTGTTAACATCTGTAACCCCAGAACTGTAGGACAGGGGAGGAGGTAGTGAGGAAAGAAACAGGCAGACTCCCCCAGAGCTCGCCCCACAGCCAGTCCTAGACAACCAGTGAGTTCTAGGTTCAGCAAGAGATCCTGTCCCAAAAGATGAGACAGAGAGGGATAGCGGAAGACGTGGAAAAGCTGGTGTGGACCAATGACCAAGGTACATACACATGCACCACACACATGCACACATCCAACACACACATGCATATATACATATACACTACATACACACATGTACCACAGAGATGCACATACACACAAACACCACATATATCCACACACACTTGCACCACACACATACACACATACATCACACACATGTACCACACATACACATACACACATGCACTACACACATACATACTCACGCACCATAAACATGCACATACACACATACACCACACACATGCACACACATACACTATACACACACCACACACACACACAAAACACACATACACATACGTACACACCCACCACAGACACTTGTACTAAAAGGTGAAAAACAAAGTAATTTACCCCCCCCAAAAGATACTTTCTCTGCATTTTTTGCTGTAAGACTGCCATGTGGAATGCTTTTCTTCCTGTCTTCCTGGTCTGCTCTGCTCAGTACAGGTAAAACACTGCCCCATCTCATTTTCAGCTCTCTCTCTGTCTGTCTCTCTCTCTCTCTCTCCATTGTCTTTCTTTTTTCCTTTACTTTCTTTTAAAAAGCAGAAATGTTGGCACACAACTTACCTCCAGGAATAGCTCAGAGCCAATGGGAAATACATTACATTTCTGTACTCACTGGAGACATTCTGCAATCTCTGTATTCATGACCCCATAAGAACTAGATGATTTCAACCAAAATACAGCAAACAGCTCTGTACAGCGCACAGTAAAGACCATTTTGAATACCCATGATATGTACTCACATTCTGTGCTCCAACTTTTGCCACACAGAGATTTTACAATTACTAAAGGACAGCTTCAGCACATTAAAATTCATGCATGTTTATTTCCTAGGTTGAAAGGGATGTCAAATTACAGTAATAACAACTGGAAAATTCTTGTCCCATTTTGACATCAGAAAACACCTTCCAGCAGGAGTTATAAAACATCCTGGAAAGGATCCAAGAGAGCTGTTGACTTTTTAATCCTCCACTACAATTCTATTTCAGAATCTATGTCTCAGTAATTTGTTTTCAGAATGCTTTTTTTTTCCTTTTCATAGAAGTGGCCAGGTTAATACATCTGTTGAAATGAGCCATTAATGTAGGAGCCTTAGCTGTGATATCTGTCCATATGACTAGTTACATATTTCCAAAAGGAGACTTGCCCAATCTTGCATTTACTGACTCATTGTACACAATAGTTTTTATTGAATACAGATTTCCGGCTTTGTCAGACAGCATCCCCCAGAATTCTGCACACTCACCGAAGCATAGTTTTCAGACTTGTCTTCCACAAAACCAATCTGGCAGGGCGTCCTCTGATTCTGCAACCAGTATTCTGTGGACTCCAGCAAGCTGCCGCTGCGAAGGACCTGGGGGAACCCAGACACCTGCTCAGGGTTTATTCAGTAAGCTTTCCATCTACACAAGCATCGCTTTTGAAAAACAAAACAAACCAAACTGTAGGTGTGTTTTTTCTTTTCCTCTGAACAACCGGATAAGGAAAAAAATAAAAAGGAATTTCAGGACCCAGCACCGATAGAAAGTGTAAACTGTTCTACCAGAAACGGTTGAGCGCAACACATCGTTGTTCTTCTTGCCCTTACATTCAGTACCTGAAAACAGCCACGTAGGCTTCACTTTTGCATAATTTGCTATCCAGTGACTGAGGAGTAAGGCCCAGCTGGCAATGCTACATTTCATTTAGAACTAATGTTCTCTTATATACTACGATCGTTTTACATTTTAAAAATGTATGCTTTCCTTTTCGGTGCAATACTGATTAGTCTTTTGATTCTGGTAACATAGGCGCATTTCTAGAACTCTTTTAATATTTTATTTATTATTTTTATTTTATGTGTATTATTGTATTGCCTGCGTGTATGTAGATACACCCGTGTCTTTCAATGCCTGCTGAGGTCAGAAGAAGGCATTGGATCCCTTGGTACTGGAGTTATGAGTTATGAACGGTTGTTAGCTGCCGTGCGGGTACTGGCATTCAAACCCAGGTCCTCTGCAAGAGCAGTTAGTGCTCTTAAACACCGAGCCATCTCTCCAGTCCCACTTCTAGAACTCTTAAGAGTTAAAGATACCATGTAGTTAAAAATATGAGGAATAACTAATTTATATTAGAAAACAACTTTTTTCTATTAGAAATAGCATACAAAAAGGATAGCGGAACACTGGAATTAACAAGGCCAACTATGATTTACAATAAACTATTTTGGGTCTTGGATTTTATTTTATTTTTTAGTTATTTAATAACCACATTATTAGAAGAAGCATTTCATTACAGTATTAACAGATTCCGTAATAATTTCCAGAGAAAAGATGCATCTCTTTCAAAATTGGCTATAATTTTTTAGGTTCACACTTGAATTAATACAGTTATACAATATTGAACTCATTACAAACCCTATAAGACATAAAATTAAATGAAGTTTTAACCTTTAAAAAAGATCTCCATTTCATTTTAAAATATACTGTTTCATACAGAGAAACTCATTTTTAATGCAACTTACACTTAGATGTTTGCACATGTGTCTCTAATCTCTATACATCTGATCATTGCTAGTCACAGCCGTTACTTTCTGAGATTTTGACACCTGAGCATGGATATAAAGTCATTAGATAGATTTCAATGGTAATGTTTTTCACCTCTATTAATTAACATGAAGCAAATTTTTATGCTTCTTCCTCAAATATAACTCATGTTTTAAATTTGTTGATCTTTTGTGTGTATTTCATATAGAACATCCCAATCAATCTTATTCATCTATACACCCACATCCCAAATGGCACCTTCCCATAGCCCCCGACCCCACTGGAGCCCATATACTCTGTCATCCCTGTTACTGTCCACTGCGTTGTTGGCACCCCCAGCTGTTCCCCAGTGCTGGTCCATCCTCTGAATCTAGTCAGGATGTTCCTTGTTCTAGAAAGATCAGCTGTTCCTCATCTAGCAGCAATCAGTTCCCAATATTCCTTTAGATAAGATTGGGATCTGCTGTTCATTTTCTCAGTTCTATGGTGGGTTACTGTCTGGGAGTCTCTTGGGCCACCCTGACCAACAACTCAAAGGAACGTATCTCCTGGCTCTTGTTATGTAGCCTTTAGCTATACATATGGACTCTTAAAGAACTATATTGATCCCTCTAATCTTTGGTTATACTTTTCTTTTGGGTGTTTAAGACCATAGAGTTGACCCAGATGAACCAATTTATTTTTATTCTTAAGGTCATTTGAGGATCTGCTCCTCAGGGGTCACATGGGCTTGGGAGGAGCCCCTGACTCCTTTCCTTACCAGTTCCATCTATGTGAAGATAAGTCAAAGGTCCTGCTCTACAGTGGCTGGCTTCACTTGGAAGCTTGGAGGAAATGTTTCCTCTGTGTTGACTCTCCTCTTTGGAGAATGGACACTGGTTCAAGTCCATGTGGTGGGGTCTCCACAGCCTCGATCAAGAGGCCAGGTGACTCACCACAGATACAGGACATTTTGAGAGATGCTCTATAGTCCCTAGAACTTAGTTGACCTAGGAGGGCAAGAAGCCAAAACTGTCCTTTATGTCTCTCTGACCAAATTAGTATAGGCCTCAAAGTATGGCTGTTAAACATCCAAGAAGGTTATTTCCGCCATGCTGGTAGTTTTAATTACCATGTACCATGTAGATAAAGCTTGAGCAAAGACCAAAGGGTCTCAGATAAACCTTCCCTAGACATGTATTATGTCCCTTGAGCTAGTTGTATGTATAATTTGTCAGTAGGTTGTTTGATTAGTATGGTTCCCTCTGTATTTTTTTTTAAAAACTAGCTAGGCATTAATTATTTCCTGTATTGTCTAACCCTTCCACCATGGTTTCCCCATTAAAAGTGCCCCCATTTTTCCCATTTCTCCCTTCTCCTATGGTATCACTTCATTTGAGCTCCTTCTTTCCCTTTATTCCCAAGTTTCCTTGTATAATCCTCCTTCCTCCCTCCCCCTCCCCTTAAAATAACCTTATTTTTATCCATATCTCCCTTATTAATGCCTGCTTCCTACTGTTCCTGTAGTTATGTCTGGTTACATACTTATAACAATTTGGTACTAGGATCCACATATGAGGGAGAACATGCATCATTTTTTTTCTGAGTCTGTGTTACTTCTCTTAGTTTGACAGTTTCTAGTTTCATCCATTTACCTGCAAATTTCATGATTTCATCTTTCTTTACTGCTGAGTAAAACTTTATCATATAAATGAATCACATTTTCATTATCCACTCATCAGTTGAGGGATACTTAGGTTGCTTCCATCTTCTAGCCAGGAAAGATGCTGGCCCCAGCGGGTCTTGGATTTTAAAGCAAAGACCAAAAGCATATTTTGAAGACACAACGTGGTAAGCACCAAGTGACTCAAACTTTGAATATTACTTACCACTATCCAAATATTACATACAGTTCTTCTCATTTTATTTAAGATTTTCAGTATTATCATGGTAGTCTTTTAATGTTTATGTCTGTTAATTTGTGATTACTACCTTCACTTAAGCAATATAACATATTTGATCAATTTGGCTAATGCCTCTAAAATAGAATGACACTTCAATTGCAACAAAAGATGGTCTCTTATTCTGTAAATACAGAAATATATTAATTTTTGTTTCAGAATAGGGTTAATACATATAATTCTGAAACATTTTCTATAATATTTGTGTCTTATATGTGTGATATTACTTGTAAGCATCATCCCATTCAGTATTTACTGGTATCTAAGGATGAGAAATTTTCATCTTTCAGAATGATGTAAAGAGATGCTTTGCTGACGAGCAGGCATCTGAATAGTGAACTTGGTCCTGAGACTGGAGCTGGAGGAGGATCTTCCCAGTTCTTACAGGGCTAACCTAATCATGCTAAGACAGCACTTGCTGTTCTGACCCTCTTATCTCCTGAACATTCAACTGTATTTCCAGAAGCCCTGTGAGTTGTGGTGGTCCAGCAGACTGAGCGTGGAGGCTCAGCAGAGGAAGTTGTCTTCTCCTAAGTCAGATATTGATGAGATTTGCAGGCACTGGATAAAACTCATATTTTTCTCACTGAAAGGTTTAACTTTGTTTCCAAAATCATATACATTTCATAAATGCATATGTTATCAAGTGTCTATCATTTAAAAAATAGTGACCTTATGAAATTCTCCAAGAATCAATAAAAAGTTTTAAAGAAATAGGTAAACAGGGACTGCAAAATTAGACCAGTCAGTAAAGTGCTTGCTGGGTAACCATGAGGACTGAAGTTTGGTTCCCAGAGCCCACATGAAAAAGTCACTTCATCTCAAGGGAAAGGCAGCAAGGGATGACACCCGATGTCGTCTTCACACACATACACCTGCCTTCGGATTTTATGTTCTTTTACTGCCCAGACAGGAAATAAACAAAACAAAAATGAAAATTCTTTTTTTTTTTTTTGAGTTAGAAAGGTCAAGAACCATGGACCTAGATTAATGTCACTTCAACTAGAAAGAGCCTCTAAATCCACAAGCCCCACCCCCACTTCCATTTCTCACACTGAATACAGTCACCAAATCTGGATGGTTGAAAGGCTAGCTTAGTTATTACTAGCAGGATAGGTGGGGACACCTGACTTGAACTCTTGAGTCTGTTTCTGCCTCTGTAAATGAGCATCATAACAGCACACAGTGAGACCAGGGAACAGGTTCAAAGAAGAGCTTTGTGTGAAAACTGGTGTCCTGACTGTAGGCTGTTCTTTCAGAACATGGTGTGCTTGTATCTTGAAAAGAACTGCACACTTGGTCAAAATTTAGAAGCATTTCCCCTGAAATCAGTGGTTGAAATTCCTGTGTATGAAGGCAAATTTTCTCACTAATATTCTATTCCAAGGTATAATTTTAGTTGTGCATTTTGTAGGACTGACAGTCATAGCCAGTATCTTTTGCAGAATTAGAATGTATGGGAATTGAGATATTTTAAAATAAAACTTGTTTTTATGGAGATAGCATCTCTCTGTCACCCTAGCCATCCTGGAACACACTATGTAGACCAGGCTGGCTTCAGTCTCACAGAGATCAACCTACCTCTGCCTCCTGGGTGCTGAGACTAAAGGTATGTGTCACCACACCTTATATTGAATTTTTAAAAAAAAAAACACTCTACAGTTATTGCAGTTCTATTAATTCACAAATAAAGGCCTTTATAAAATGTACCATGTGGAAGTTAAAGACGTTGAGTCTCAGATGGTTTTGAGGCTTTCTGTTTCTGCTCCACATGGTTCAGAATGAGATCTTGGTTTTGGTGTTGAAGAAACCAGTGCTTGTTTGTGAATTCCCTTAACAGTGTTGCCTTCCATACCATCCAAATGATTTGATTCAGAGTCTGTTTCTAA